CCGGGAGCGGGCACACTTGCAGGCCAACTCAGACACATAAAGTAAGAGCAGAGAGTCGCCTAGGTCTCTCAGTATTTCCTGACTGCTTTACTGTGAGGTGTATTTATATAACAGCTTTAAAAATCAATACATCTCTTTTACCCACTAATGGGCTGTGTGTATGGAAAACTCATTTCAGGGTACATTTCTCATAGAATGGTGATGTTTGTAACCTGAGGCCACTTCCCAAGTCAGCCCACCTCTGACCTCTCAGACTGCTCTGCGTGGCCTGGTCCCTGTGTTTCATTCGGGTGGGAGGTTCAGTGTGAGAATGCACACCAGTGTTCGAGGCCCCACCCCACCAATGTGAGCAAAGTTCCATCTCCTCTGAAGGCTGTCTGCCTTGCCCACCAGAAGGGCCCCTCCCTCGTAGGCACATTTGGAAATCTCTCTGGCAGCCTCAAGCCTCTAAAAGTCAGGCTTCTTCGTCCCACTGTTGGGCTGCAGGTCACAGACAGAGCGTGCCATCCCCAGCCACTCCCAGCCTCCTGCAGGTGACAGACAGAGCATGCCACCCCCAGCCACCCCCAGCCACCCCCAGCCACCCCCAGCCTCCTCTTTCTGTGGTTCTCGGGGACTTCGAGCATCTCTCAACTGTAGCTCCTCCCTCTAGCTCCCACTTCCTACTCCCGAAGCCCACACTTCATGAACTCTCGGCTCCCAGTGCCCACCCCACCATAGGCACATGGCCTGGCCCAGGTGCACAGGTGGCTGCCGTGTGTGCTGCTTCTGAGCTGTGAACCAACTCAAGGCCTTGCCCACGCAGGGCACACCACAGAGCTCCATGCCCAGGCCACACCTGCTCTGCTTTTGTCCTCTCTGTGCCCTGAAGTTGTGCCACAGCCCCTGCTGGGTCTCAGTGCTTCCAAGGAGAGGATTCAACTGGACATTTTCTTACATCTGTCCAAGTCACTGTGATGGCTTATTTTCATTGCCAAGCTGACTGGACTTAGAATCACCTAGGAGACACAACTTTAGGCACATCGGGGTTATTTCTAGACAGTTTTAGGTGAGGGGGGAAGCTCTGTCGCGATTGCAGGCAGCACCATCGTGTTGCTGGGGTCCTGGCTTAACAAAGAGGGGGAGAGAATAAAGCAAGTTAGGCAGCAGCATGTGGCTCTCCGTGACTGTAGGCACGGTGCGGCCAGGCCTCTGGCTCCTGCAGCCTCATCTATAGCCGATCCTACCACCATGTGGTCTCACCATAATGGACTATGACTCTCAAAACTTTGAGCCAAAATAAACCTTTCTTTCCTTAAAGTGCGTTTGTCGGGCGTTTTGTGACGGCAATGAGGAAAGTAACTGGCGCACGCATTGTCCAGCATCGCCCAGCAGCCTTCCCTACAGCCTCGTCATCCTCTTTGCCCCACGGCCTTCCATCTCCTTTCTGCCCCAGAACCCACCACACCACCAGAGCGTGGCCAGGCTGCACGGCCTCTGCCAGGAGCATTCCTTTCAAATTGCTACAGAGCGATTAAGTAATTATGTAATAAATACATAGTATTTATACATAATACATTGCATGTGATATATAAAAATATAAAACTACAATGTTTATATGTAAAAATACAAAAAAATACTTAGTTCAGTCCTAGGACCCCCAGGATGAAAGGATAGAACTGACTCCCACACATGGCCCTCTCACCTCTACGTACAAGCCACACGTACCCAAACACACATACCAAACAAATAAAGAAGAACAATTCTTTAATTAAAATTTTAAGTTGGTGATGGGGATATAGTTCGTTCAGTAAAGCGATCATGGGGCCAGCATGACCATCTAAGTTTGAGCCCCCTGTGCTCATGTAAAAAGAAGGGCACAGTGGTGTGTGTCTGTAACCCCAGCGCTGGGAGGGCAGAGGCAAGAGAGTCTCTGCAGCTCGTTGGCCAGCCAGCGTGGCCGATCATCTCCAGGGTCGGTGAGAGACCATATCAGAGACGAAATCGGAGAATGACTGAGGAAGACGCCTAACATCGACTGTGACCGATGCATGCGTGTGTGCGTGCCCTCGAGCATGTCCCATATGAGTTAAAGGGAGCCTCTACAGGAGCTAGCCATCGCTAATAGTTGGGCATGTGTTGTCACACAAATCTGTGACAACGGAGATGTGTTATCAGCACAAACACTGACTGTGAGATGACAGTCACGGCTCTGCCACCTCAGACCACCGGGAGCACACTGACGGCAGCCAGAGGGGCTGCCCGCTCTCTGCGGTTGAGGGAACAGGGAGCTGTGAGTCATTTCAGTAAGCGGCACTGGGAAGAACTTGTTACAGTGCTTGGCTTCTGTCTGGTGATCTGAAGAAGGGTTTGAGGATCCGGGGTGTTGCTTGGATTCTTGGCCGAGTCGTTCTGCGGCCAGAGGCTGTAATGCACCCTGTCTGAAAAGAGGGAAATTAGTGCAAGGCGAAAGCTAGAGAAGGGCCAAACGTCCATGTCCCTTCCATCAGCGGGACGGGCAGATTCGTGCTCCCTTCTGTGACAGGTATCCTGTTTGAGCCTGTGTCCGTGGGTAGTGTGTCTGTAGACATGTCGCCAGCACGGAGAGTCCTCTCCAGTGCGGCTGCGCCACGCACCATCCCCAGGTCAGCAGTCTGTGAGTGCTCGGCGGCTCCTCACTCCCTTCTCAGTGTTGCAGACATGTTTTCATACCAGCGCTGAGTCATGTTTAGCCAAAACATCTCTCATTGAATAGCATCTTTCTGTTAGTCTTAATACCCTTAATACCGAGAAGAAAATCTTTAGCACTACATCTCCACACAGGCTTCAAATTACGAAAGGCCTGAAAGTAGTCCCAATTTAACCAGGACAGATCTTTGGCAGACCTTCTCTGAGCCTGTTTCTCTGGCTGAAAATGTGGCTAATTATCCCAGTCTTTCTGGAGTTGAGTTTAGTATGAAAAACGTTTACTATACCATACAAACAAATTAATATGTGTAAGAACACTATTTTATGTTTAGTTGAAGCAACTACTTTTATTTATCCCATTTCTTCTTGGAAAAAGTATCTCAGATAAATGGGTTAATGCCTTCGATCTGGAAGGAAAAGCAGGGAACACCCATCTGCAATTAACCAAATATCAATTGTTAATAGAGCCCAAAGAAAATAGAGGTCTCAGCTGGAGCTCAGACCCAGAACAGAGGAGGCTGTCGGAGTGCTGAGAGGGAACCACCCAAAAAACTACTCACGGCAGCAAGTCCACCTGGTGCTCTGAACGTGAACCCTGGACCCCGGTTGGTGATGCTGTTTGGGGAGGGTTAGGGTGAGAGGTCTCGCTGTAGGAAGTATAAGGTCGGGGTTCGAGACTGTAGAGCCTCGCCCTCCCAGCAGTTCACGCGTCCAAGTTTGTGCGCATGGCTGAGGGTGTGGGTTCTCAGCTTCCTGCTTCAGCTACCTGCTGCCATGCTTCCTTGTCGAGTGAACTTTTATCCTTCTGGAGACATAAGCCAAAACAACGTCTTTTTTTTTTTTTTTTTTTTTTTTCCCCTGTAAGCTGGTTTTGGTTGTGGTATTTTATCACAGCCAGAGAGAAGTAGCTAACTCAGGCAACATGAAAGACAGAGGACCTAAGAGCTGGAGAACCAAGGCAGCAGGAGCTATGTGGGCTCCTGCCAGAGCGCTCACTAGACCTTTCCATTACTCAGTGAGCCCAGTCAGCAATGGTCATATTTACTCACTCAGTAAACATTTCTGAGGCCTTTGTTGGTACTTCTTAGGAACTAAGATTTAGGATTGTACTAAACAGCTGTGGTACAAGCTGGGACTGAAGTGTAGAATTTGGCAATAAGCAAAATAAGGCAGAATAAAGAAGCAAAAAAAATGTGCATTAGTGATAAATGCTGTGCGAGAAGGATGCGTAGACAGCCTTGTGGTTTGAATATGAAATGTCTCCGCAGGCTCATGTACTTGAGCACTTGGCCCCAGCTGGTAGGGCTGTTTGCAAGGGTGAGGGAGCCTTTAGGAGGTGGAGCCTGGGAGGAAGCTCGTCACAGGGGACCAGCCCCATTTCCCGTTCTCTGTCTCTGTCTGTCTGTCTATCTATCTATCTATCCATCCATCCATCTCTGTCTCTCTCAGTATGTGTCTCTCTGTCTCTGTGTCTCTCTGTGTCTGTCTCTCTCTGCCTGTCTCTCTCTCTCTCTCTCTGCTTCCTATGTGGGAATGAAATGTGGTCTCTCTCTGCTTCCTGACCACTAGGCCATCCTCATGCTCATGCTGCCATACTTTCCTCACCACAACAGACTGTATCTCCCCCCCCCCCAAAAAAAAAAAAACCCTAAGTTGCTTTTGGTCAGGGTCTTTTATCCCAGCAACAGATGTGCACACAGCATCTGAGTGCTGGGGGCGGGCCTCACTCTGGAAGTGACATTAAGATGATGGTTAAATAGCTAGAGGCCAGGCTTGCCAACAGCAACAATAATGAGCTTAGTTGACATAAGGCAGGAAAAAGCTTAATATGTCCACACATTTGAATGAAGGCTGACTGAGAGGAGAGAGACAGAGAGAGAAAGCTTGGGCAAGTGAGTAAGTCTTCTAACTCGTAGGACTATAAATTAGAAGGAATTAAATTAAATTAGTTGGAATTCTTCTGCGTGTCATATGAAAGCATTAGAAAGTTTTAATTTGGAAGGAACATATTCAGATTTAGTTTTTGAAAGCTCGCTGTCTACCTCTAAAATGGCTCCAGTAAGCTACAGCTTTTTCTGCCCCACCCCACTAACTTCCTTATGCCCATTCTTCTGAAAAGTTCATCCTGTGCTCCCTGGACAAGCATGTGACTTACGTGTGTCCAATCACAGCGCCCCTTTTCCTTGGACACACGCACTGGCTCAGTGCAGTCATGTGATATAACCAGAGCCTTCCTGTGACTCTCAGTTTAGAGCTGAAGAAGCAGCTTTGGCTTCTGGGGTCTGTGGCTGAAAGAATGTGAATGGGTCATCTTTCTTTTAAACATTTCTTTATTTTAGGCATGTGTGCGTGTGCATGCATGCACACATGTGCCAAAGCACGCGCGTAGAGGTCAGAGGACAGCTTGAGTCAGTTCTCTCCTATGTGGGTTCTGGAGCAGCAAGGGCCTTCCCTCACTGACAGCCATGTTTTCTGTGTGGGAGCATTTACAGCTGGAGAGAAAGAAATCAGGCAGAACAAGCAGAGGTGACAGACAGTAGGACAGAGGAGACTCCCTATAATACAGATTCCAGGGACTGGAAGCTTGACTCCTCAAGCCCTTCATGTGGTCTTGAGGGTGTCAATTCTCTCCTAAGCGAGCCATGAATTTCTCCTTTTACTTCTTAAAGCCAGGTATGCCAGTGTATACCTGTAATCTCAAAAGTTTGGGGAGCTGAGGCAGGAGAATCACAAATTCTGGGCCAGAATGTGCTACAAAATGAGTTCAACACCAGCCTGAGCTAGGTAGCAAGAGCCTGTCTCAAAAAATAAATCCTTACTTCAGCATCTCTTTCTTAGCTGGAGTGTGTGTGTGTGTGTGCTCAATCTACTTTATTCTGAAGTAAAATCCAGTTCCATCTTGATATCCCTTTTACATAGAAGCAAAGATGATGGTTGTGGCTCCTAGTGCAGCAGAAGAAAACTTTGTCTGTCCACCCTGCTCAAAATGTTTAAGACTAGAGAGCTGGAGAGGTGTCTCAGCTATTAAAGCAGCTGCTACTCTTTCAGGAGGCCTGAGTTCGCTTCCCAGCACCTACATCAAGCAATTCACTACTGCCTATAGTTTTAGCTCCAGGGATCCAATGCCCTCTTCCGGCCTCTTGAGGTGCCTGCGCTCACATACACTAACACACATAGACACATAACGTTTTATAAAATAAAGCACAGACTAAAGCCTATACATGTGGCTGCGTCCCACGCTGAGATAATCCAAGACCAGACATCTGTGAAAGGATGGCCCTTCCACTGCGTGGGGTTCTCAGTGACTGCGCCTGCCATGGTTGCCATGTGGTTAGCTGTGCTGGGGTACTAAAGCAATAGTCATAACAACATCTATAGGTAATGCTTTATTGTTTACACATTTCTTCATTTGCTCCTTGCAGCAACCCTGAGGTAGGTATATCCCCGCCTTACAGATGAATAAACCAATAACCCTAGGTTAGATTACGTGCCAAAGGTCCCACTCAAAGCCACTGATAACTCCAAACCCAAGGGGACTCTTGAGGAGTTCACAGGCTGCTGTCAAGGAAAGTGGAGCAGAAACTTCAACTGGAAAGGGCTGTGCCATCACTGAAGCTTGAGGTCCCTCACCAGGGACGGACGAGGCACGTTCACAGGCCAGGACTGAGCAGAAGCAGAGCACATGGGGATTACAACGCAAGAAGGGTGACTGTCTTCAAGCACGTGCAGAGCCTAGCTTCCAAGGACTGGAGGGACTTGGGGTCTCGGCAGCAGCGAGTCCAGGGACCGGCCACAGACGGCAGGCCACGGAGGAGCTGCCACAGAGTGGTGCCTCCTCCACTCGGCCCAAGCATGGCAACGATGAGCTGTGGTCCTTTAACCTCATTAAGGCCTTGAACATCTGATGAAAGCCATCACACAACACACCCCAAAATAGACACACACAAACAGACATTTTGCATACAATTTCAGGAAATCCGTGGACCCCAGCCAGGGTATTCCTGTTTTAGGGCAAGGGTGAAAGTCACTGAGGCAAGTATACCTTTAACTTGCTTGTATTCCCTACACACCTTTCTGGGCTCCTTTTGCCCTGCCCAAATTCAGAATGTTGCGAAGTTCATGTAAATGGGAGCCAAGGAAAGCACAGCGGTGGCATGGCAGTGGTGGTGGCCAGAGGGTGAAGACAAGGAGAAGGATGGGGCCACATGTCCTGCTGCCCTCCCACCCAGAAGGTCACTTTGGGACTTTGCTCAAAGTTAAAGAAGCTCTGTGGGGTGATGAGGGTGTGTGGTTTCCCTCACGGGCTACAGAGGGTAAAGTTGTATGGGCAATGTCCTCCATTCCAGCTTTGCCCTCCTACCCCCAAGAGCACCTAGGCACTGGCCTGTCCTTCATGCACACAGGAACAGGTCTAGGCACACCAGTGTGCACACATACTCTCCCAGGAACATAGGGAAACTGAGATGCAGGAGATCTCAGGGCAGTCAGGGGATCATGCGCTCCCCGGAGTCAGCAAACTGGAAATCAGACAGCCACCCCGACGGCCTCTGCGGTGCTTCCTTCTGTCCGGGGCCCGCCATAGAGCAAGTCAGAGCTACGGCCTTGCTTCATCCCACAAGCTGATGGGCCCAAGAGGGGAGGCAGAAGGGTCACACGACTGATCTCTCATGAGAATCAAGAACCAGGCAAAGGCTGCCCCTCAGCCCATCCAGGTCCAGGGACAGACACTGACACCCAGTGATCACACAGGCTCCAGAGCACTGAGCAGCCATGTCACCTCCGGGGTGCAGTGACCCAGGCATGGTAGCCGCTAGTTCCAGTGCTTGCTCATGGGCTGGCAGTCCTGTTCCTGGCTCTAGATGGATGTCTCATCGCACGTGGCTAGAGGAGCCCCAGTGAGCCGGATGTGGGCGGGGCTTGGGCAAGAATCCAGCAGGAAGGGTGGAGGGAAGCCACCAAAACCACTGCCCCTCTTGCCCAGGGCCAGGGGCAGCCGTTCATCTTCAGGAGAAGGAGAGGGAGGGTCTTGGCTGTAGCTTGTGGTCCCAGAAGGTGGAGCCCCCAGGTCTAAGCCCACCTTGTCTCTAGCCAAAAGTTCCCTCTGACGCCGACGCTGCTGGCGGCGACCAATCAGGAGGAGAGTGAGGGATGCTGCAAGAACCCCCAGGAAAAAGCCAACCAGCCCAGCCCCCACCACTGTGTGGGTCCGGTGTGAGGGTCCCCGCTGGCTGCCCCACACCAAGCTGTAAGCAGCCACCACGCGGGCTGCCCCGCCCTCCTGACACTCACAGGCATAAGCCCCCATGGCCCCGGGGGTCACCACCACCTCCAGCCCATCCCTCCGGGGGGTGAGTGCGGTCACTCCACTGGGCTGGTGCCACACACAGGATGCCCAGGCCGAACTAGGGGAACATGGCAGGACCACATGGCCCGCAGTGGCCACCGGAACTTCAAACACTACCGGGTGTTCTGTGGAGAGAAGGCAAAGGGCACAGAAGACGTGAGGCTACAGGCAGGAAGTAGGATGAGGAGTCATATGGGGAGATGTCAGAGATAGGACAGAGTTATAGGGACGTTTCCAAAAAGGATTCCCAAAGAGGAGAAGGCCCTAGGTCCCTGGCCGCCACGTCTTCATGGGTTCAACTTTCTAGCCTCTTTCTATACGCTCCGCCCACATTTCTCTGAGCCATACATACCTCCAGGTTCTTTCGGACACAAAGAAGACACATCTGCTGACTCTATGTCTTGGACCATCCTACAAAGAAGAGAACATTTGGTAAAGCTAGTGTTCGCATGTGCTTGTATGCTCCTCAGAAGCTCACAGTACCACGGTACTCAGCCCCAGGGTACTCCCAGTACCCAGTCACCACAGTACTCACTCACTACACATCCTTTCACGTTATAAATCGCTCCTGGGGTTGGTCAGGATTCCATCACCCAATCTTTCCCCAACACCCCTATGTTCCTCAAATTATACGCATTCCTAGCAGACAGTCTGTTGGAAAGATGCTCAGGGGGTATCCCCTAAGAGGAGAAACCTAGGAAGTGAAACTGGCTGTCCATAACTATAAGCTGTCTCTCCTTTAAACCTGGGGTCTGGGGCTGCGCTCAGCAGGAGAGAGTGGGTGCAAGCATAAGGACGTGAGCTTAACCCTCCAGCACCCAGGTAAGAAGCCTGGGTGTGAGGTCAGGCTCGCGGTGCTTCCAAACAGGCAATCTCAATGTTGCTTTGAAAAGTATTTCGCAAACAGCTGGCCAAAAACATTCCATTGAGGGAATGGAAATCAAAGCTTAACAGCTGGGACTGCAGCTGGGGGAGAGTGCCTGCCTAGCAGCCACAGCCTCTAGGTTTTAATCAGGAACAATGGTGATGCCTGTAATCTCAGAGTGTGGGAGGAGGAGGCGGGAGAGATCACTATGAATTTGAGGCCAGCTCAGGTTACACAGAGACAGTTCTAGGCCAGCCTGGGCTACAGATTAAGACCTTATCTCAATATTTTTTAAATTGAAGGACACAAAACGTATTGGTGGTATTATTTGAAGTTTGACTTATACAGGCTGTTTTAAGTTTATGAAAATGAGGATAATGAAATGTTGACTGGATATTTGATAACACTAAGAAATTAAGAACTGGTTATGTCAGCTGGGTGAGGTGGCATATGCCTGTCATCCCAGCACTCATGGAGGAAGAGGCAGGTGGATCAAAGAGGGGGAGAAAAGAAAGAATTGAGTAGGGCTGTGGTAGTGTTACTCATCACATAACATGGCTATTTATCTCGTGTGTTCCTATGTACGCATTTGTGTGCAGGTGGACCTGTGTGCATGTGGAGACCAGAGGAAGCATCGCTTTTCCTCTTCAGTACACTATTTGTGTGCAGTGCCCACAGAGGTCAGAAGGGGGCACTGGAGCCCCTGGAACCGTGAGCCATCCTGTCGGGGCAACAGGACAACTGAACCTGAATCTTCAAGAACAACCAGAGCTCTTAACTGCTAATCAATCTCTCCAGAACCTTTTTTTTTTTTTAAGTTCGATTGTCTGCTAGAGATACTCAAAGATTTACGGATAACATAAGATGGTATCTAAGATTTGCTTGAAAATAACTGGGAGTGAAGTGTTAAAAGCACAGTGCTGGGCAGGCGTCGGTGGCGAAGGGTGTGGATCTATGCCAACTTTTCACGTCAGCCTCTCTGTTTTTGAATATAGTTAACATTTCCAAAACCAAATCTTTTTAGGGAAGTCCTTATGTGACGGAGCACCACGCTGAAGCACTCAGGGTGAGTGAGTCAGGGCTTCGCTGCCACGTGCCGCATTTCTAGGGTCACTGCTGAGAGGAAGATGGCTGGCAGAAGACCAAAACAGGCAAGAGAAGGATTAGGAGGCTGAAGACAGCCCAGTGAGAAGAACCTGGCTGCGGGAGGGTTAAGTGGACGAAGCGCCTGCTGTTCACACCTGATGAAACAAGTTTGCTCCCCCAGAACCCACAGAAGAGGGGCCACCGTCAGGCAGGTGCGCAATCCCAGAAATCCCAGTGCAGCCCTACTGACCGAGGACGAGACGGAAGGAACTGGAAGCCTCCAGGCAGCTAGCTGGTATACACAAGAGGGAACCACAGTGGCTTAGGGCGGAAGGAGGACACCCGGGGTTTGTGTCCTCCGACACACACGCAGTGGCAATGACACATACTTGCTGGTACTCAAATGTACACACACACACCATACACAAATATTCATCATATACACATACAGATACATACGTACATATCATGCACAAACATATACATCTTAACACAGCGCACACACACACATAAAGAAGTGGCTTTGATGGCCGCGGAGGTGGAGGAAGCCAGGGGAGCAACGATACGGTCTGCAGCCGGAGTCGACCAGTCTCGGGACAGTGTGTGGTGGGGGCACCCGAGGGACGGCGCTCCTTTTACTGATGTGCACGTGGGGAGGAGGAATCGCAGTGCATGTTCAGACTGGCTGAAACACTGTGGGAGAGTGGGAAGTGTAGAGCTACCCGGGCCTGCTGCCTCTCTGCTAGAGATACACTTGTGATAATCAGGAATGAAACCACCTTGGCGGAGTGGGAAGAGAAGGAATCTAGGACAAAACCCTCAGGGATATCAATGTTCCGTAGCTGGAGGCGGAGACAGCCGTTGGCAGGGCGGGAGGAGAATGCACAGAAGGCAGGAGGGGGGCATTTCCAGCAAGGAGAGGAAGGGCAACTGAGAGAGCGCTGGTGAGCTGAAAACTGGAAAATCTCTCCTAGAGGTGGTGTCTGCCCCACTGTCTGTCTCTCACTGGCTGACACGGACTTGGTCCCACTGGCGGGGCAGCTCTGGCATGAATTAGGCAGCACCAGACAGACAGACAGATGAGCTAACGTGGGCTGACAGATGGACAGGCAAGTGATGGAGACCCTAAACAACAAGGCACACACAGACAGGGTGGCGTCAGCAGATGAGACAGACATGTGGGGGCGGAGCCCACGAGGGCCGGCAAGAGAGCAAAGCAGCCCACTCACCCCCGGTGCTCCCCGGCGTGGGCCACACAGGCGTCGAGCCGGAAGCTCCAGGCACACACAGGGTCCTGGGCCAGGATACACTCCGAGCAGCTCTGGAGACGGCCACAGTTGCTGGTGTTCACTTGTGTCACCTCAGTGTGGGAGCCCACCAGGAGCCAACCCTGTAGAAATGGAGCCGGGAGAAAATGTGCTACGTCTTCCAGACCAGATCGTGAACTGGCCGTGGACTCGGTTCTCCCCAGCAGGCGCCCCAAATGCACAACTCACATGGTACAATTTCATGCTCTTAACCGGCTGTGGTTCTGGGAACAAGGCCAGATCCTCCAGGACACTGAGCTGAGCTCCAGTGCGCACAGCCCGGTGGACATGTCCGTCCTCTAGGAGGCCAGCAAAGGGCAGGGAAACGGCATAATCGGCACTGGGCCTCTGGTGCCTGAATGCCATCGGGGACCCCTCTATGGTGACAGTAGGCACTATGTGGGCAGCCTGCCTGATGCTTAAATATACCTGTCCCCAGGTAGAGCACATCATATTCCTTCCCTGAGAGGCCGGTCACCCTGTGGGCCACAAGCCTGAGGTAGGCTGTATCAGTAGTGACCAGCAGGGGGCGGCCATCCACTGGGAACACGGGCCTGTCCATGAGCGGGTGGTCTCTGATGAAGGTGAGCACGCGGTCTGGCAGGGAGAGTGAGGACCCAAACTGCTGGAGCTTCATGTTGTTGGAGATACACTAAAGGAGACAGGTCCGGGTGACAACGTTTCTCGGGGAACAGGAAGTGTCAGGGATCTTTGCGCCAGAGAGGGGGAGAAAAAAATCCAAGGCTGAGATGAAGACGTGCCCCACCCCCTTACCTCTCCAGGTCTGGGCTGGGGTACCTCGTTGTCCATGACAGGCAGTCCCCTGTTGCAGTCATGTTTTAGCTCTCTAAAGGGACCATTCAGCACTGCCCTTATGTCTTGGGGTCGGAAGGCACACACAGCAGAGATGGTAGCTCCTTCCCTGGAGGAGCCACAGGTTGGAGGCAGGGATCTGGAGGGAGCTAGGCAACAGCAACTCATCCCTTATCAAGTCAGGCGATCCCCAAGAGACACATGGGAGCCATGCAGCTGAGGGACTGGCTGACGCCTCGGGCCTCCCACCCGGTCTCTCTCATCCACACCCGCACCCCCTCACCACTGGGAGGAGAAGACGCCGTAAAAGATGGGGGTCCCCGCCCCAGGCTGAGGCCGAAGCTCTGTCATATCCTGCAGGACCCCTGAGGCCCGGCCATGCTCAGGGCCTGGACACAGCAGGTCAGCCTTTAGAAATGTTGTCCATCTCTGTTGAAGGGTCTTCCTGCCCCCAAGGTCCCCCTGGGGTGACAAGAACATGGGGAACACTCTTTAGAAGACCAATACTAGACAAAACGTGTGTTGACCAACCCTCTAGTTTCTTCCCTGACTTCAGAGCACACATGATGGGGAGACGGACATACAGAGGTGGAAGAACAGACACACAGTCTGAGAAACTCGGGGTAGTAAGATGCAAAGGCGGACAGGGTCATGGTAACAAGGACAGTGACGAAGTCCACTGTGTACTTACAAAGAACTGTGACCTCACGTAGTCCTTGTCACAGGTCAACATGGGGTATCATGCAAATTCTACATATGTGTTGTGAAGGTGCTAGAGCACAAACTAGAGGTCACAGAGGCAGGAATTGGAGGGGCAGGACTTGAACTTGGGTCCATCATTAGATCCTTCTGAACTTCTAACATAAACCAACCCCCTATAGACAGTGTGTCCCAAGGGTAAGTGTGTGGGGTGGGGTGGGGGAGCCAGCACCTTCTCCGTCACATTCCTCAAGCTCCCATGAGAGAAGCCTAGGTGGAGAACAGAGCAGACAGAGAGGCAAAGCAGGCCTGGAGAGGGAAGGACAGACGGCCAAACATGGGAGATGTCGGCCAGCCAGGACAGAGGTCTCACCGCACACACTCGGGCCACACGAGGAACCTTGATGCGTTCATATGAGTCCAACACCCGGGAGGTCTCCGTGAAGAAGAAGAAGATTTCATCATCTCCAACTTCATCCCCCAACTCAGCCGGGCTCAGGACCATAGCTGCGACAAAGGCTGGGGCTGAAGAAACCAGCGGCCTGAGATCTTCATAGACAGCCCGGGGCTACCCAGCCTCCACCTGCCCTGTGTGTCCCAGGGGACCCTGTCCCTCTCCCCACCATTAAGCCAGGATGACAAGGTCTCTGTTCGAATCCAGTCCTCAGCACGACCCACAGCTCGGGAGATGATGGGCTCGGTCCCCAGGAAGTTTTTCACAGTGGCAGTGTAGAGGACGCCCCCTGCAGGGCAATAGGGAGGGGAGCGGTCAGACAGAGACAGACACCCAGAAGCGGAAACAGTGGCAGGCACAGCATGGGACAAAGCAGAGCAGCAACACACGGGACTGAGCAGCCACCAAATGTCATCACAGGGGACCCCTGACTTACAAATGGGAAAGGAGGCGCTGGGGTAGAAAGCCTGCACTGAGGAAGAACCTCCAAAGGGACATCGGGTGTCGGTGTCGATGAAGTAGCGTGGCAATGGCTGCCTGTCCTGGGACTCCCGGGGGGTGGCATTTGCTTTGGAGCCAGCACCAATCTCCCTCAAGTTTTCCACTTTGCAGCAGAGAACCTGCGTTCTCCCTGAACTTTGCCGGGCACACTGCTCTGCAGCAATTCACAACTAGAAAGCACACTGGAGCTGGTCGGAGGGGTGGAGGCAGCCTTCACTGTCAGCCTCAGGCCCAGCAACCCTAACTGGCTGGAAGCGGCTTGAGCTTCACCTTGGGAAATTCCAGCCCCGCCTGATGAGAGGACACTTCATAGAAAGGGAGGGCGACAGAGGACGGGGGGGGGGGGGGTCTCGCTCATGTACTGAGATGGCTGTGAGCACTCTAGGAAAAGTGTAAGAAGATCAGGCACTTTGGGACAGAAGAGAGGGGCAGCTCTTGTTACCGTGAGTAACACGGGCAAGGGCTCAGACACAAGGAGAAAAAAAGGGGCTGCGAGCCATAGAAGGTCATGGGCCTCAAGCAGCACAGGCATTGTGGGAAAAGCAAGGTGGCAGGATTCCATCAGCTCCTGTGCACAAACACTGCACTGAGCACATCGCTGTTCTCGTGGACTCCCACTGGGGTGAGGAAGACAAGCATATGTTCAGGAGCCAGGATTTTTGAACTAGGAGGTGAAGGTAGGCACAGAGGATGGTCCAGCCTTATCTATTTTGGGTTGCAGCATCTTTTTTTTTTGGGGGGGGGGCAGGGAAGTGGCAGGGATTGAAACCTAGACCCTGCATATGACACGCAAGTGTTCTACCAGCTGAGCTATAGCTGAAGAATAAAAAGTTTGCCAGTTAGAGGGCTTCAGGGGGAAAGACGGGGAGGCAGTGCATAGAAAAGCCATATTCAGGCACAAGGACTCTGGTAGCTGATGCCCAGAGGGCCCGAGGCTTCTGGACTGAGCAGGTGAGCAGAGGCAAGGTTAGAGGCATGGAGACATGCCCTCATTTGTGAAGTGTGCTCTGCCATCTCAGGAAGTATAGTCTTTATCTCACAGGGAAGAAGAGAATGGCAGAGATTTTTTTCATTGGTGAGTGTAATATAATCAACCTGGGGTTTTTAAGAAAGTAGGAGGGTTGGAGGTGTAGCTCAGTGGTGTAATATTGGCCTCGTAAGCCCAAAGTCTTCCTCGGTTAGAAGACCACGATGATGATGGTGATGACGAAGACAACAGCTGGGCATGGTGGTGTGATGTGAAATGCAACCCAGCAGTAGGATGGCTGAGGCAGGAAGATCAGACATCAAAGGCCACCCTGAGCTACAAAACAAGATGCTATCAAAAAGGAAAAAGCCTAGACAGGGTATAGTGCAAGCCTTTCATCGAAGCACTCTGGAAGCAGACGCAGAGTTCAAGGCCAGCCTGGTATACAAAGCAAGTTCTAGGACAGCCAGGGCTATTCAGAGAAACCATGTTTCAAAAACAAAACAACAGCAAAGATGGCTCAGCCATTAAGCACACTAGCTGCTCTTGCAGAGGACTTGGGTTTGGTTCCCAGCACTCACATGAAGGCTCACAGCCATCTTTGACTCTAGTCCCAGAGAACCCAACACCCTTGTCTGGCCTCCTTGGGTACTGCATACTTGTGGTACCCAGCCATATATGGGTGCAAACCACACATACACACGTAAAGTGAAAATGAAAAAGAGGAGCCACACCTACAGCAAATTCACAGTGTGATGTTTTCGTGAACCCATTACAACCAGGTGATTTTTATACTTTAAAAAAGAAAAGAGAGCCAGCACAGTAGCACATGCCTGTAATCCTAGCACTCAGGGAGACAGAGGCAGGCAGAGCTCTGTGAGTTCAAGGCCAGCCTGGTCTACAAAGACAGCTAGGGCTACACAGAGAAACCCTGTCTCCAAAAATCCAAAAACCACAGAGAGGGAGAGAGAGAGAGGAGGAAGAGGAGGAGGAAGGTAAAGTGGAAAAAGGACAAAAAGGGAAAGACAAAAGAGAGAAAAAGAAAAGGCAGAAGAAAAATAACAACAACAAAGGACCGACCATTCATACAGTTCAAGAAGCGTGGAACACCCAGACTAGGCAGACTGTGAAGAGGGGGGAAGGGCTAAGAAGGTATCTCTGAGGTAGAGTATATTAGTAAGATATGAGCAAGACTTGAGAGAAGAGGGATGAGAGAATAGACTAAGATAATCTCTCCTACAGTCTATCACCCATAAGTAGCTAGGGCAGGAAACAACAGAGGCAGACCCATGAAGACAACAGCTGGAGAGGAAGGACATTCACTCCTGGATGTGCTAAGGCAGAAGGGCTTTCAGAATAGATCGGAGATTCTAGGCAGCAATCAGAAAGGGTCCAGGAATCCCAGCCAGAGACAATGCCTGGGAGTCACTGAACATCCTGCTTAGGTCCCAAAAGGAGTAGTGCAAAGGTATTGAGCAGAAAGGTAAGTAGATTAGGATGCACCCGGGAACACCACTATTTAAAGGAGAGTGTTCTGTGGGCAGCTAGGTCAGGCCAAAGAGCCAGGAGAAGCAAGGCAGATACGCTAGCAAGGGCTTGAAGGGGCTTGTGCTAGCCAGGGGAAGCAGGAGAGAGAATCACGCAGAAGGAAGCATAGAGATTTGGGGGCAACAGATATTCCAGAAAGGCTGAGCTTCATTAGCAGTAGCCAGATAGCCAGCCTTGACACAACACTCAGTGCAGAGCGAAAAACAGCCAGAATGCCTGTGAGACTTGTGGGTTGAAAACCTCCTTGCGGGGTGTGGGTGAGAAGGAGAGATGATTCCAAAACTTGAGACTGTGGAAAGGGTTTTGGCATCAGAAGACTTGGGTTTGAACTTTGACAACTTACTATGTCGAGTAGGCACAGTCTTGGGAAAACTGACTTCCCTAAACACTGGGTCCTTTAAAGAAGTAGGAAGAACAGGGAGAGAGCCACCTTGCACTCAGAGTAAGTGCAAACGCCAGATAACAAGTACAGAGCCAAGCAAGGGGATGCCACATGGTGGACATTCGGCACAATCACTGACGGCCCCTGTGCAGCTTCAGAGACGTATGCCTGCTTGCTGCTAGTGGAGGAGAGGACGCTGCCAAATGACATGCCAACCTCTTCCCGAAGAGTTTGGGAAAGAAAACCTAAATCTTAGTCGCAGGTCCCAGCAACAAAGGGAATCCCACAGGCGCCAACTCTCTGTACTTGCAAGGTTATAGGTGGAGAGAGAATTTACACACACACACACACACACACACACACACACACACACACACACACACTGATTGAAAAATGGTCCCTAGCCAGGCAGTGGTGGAGAACACCTTCAATCCCAGTACCTGGGAAGCAGAGGGAGGTAGATCTCTGAGTTCAAGGCCAAAATGACTAAAGATGAAGTTCCAGGACAGCCAGGGCTACACAGAGAAACTCTGTCTCAAAAGAAAAGGGAATAAAAATGGTTCCTAAGAACACCATACACAGAAGGCTCTCGAACCAAACCTCTGGCAGAAGCTGCGCACGGCTGCTCTGAGGATGGAAGGTATGGGAGGGAGACAGCTGTGCGTGTTTAGGGAGTGTGTCCTGGGGTAAAGGTGATAAACCAGTAGTGGAGAAGAAAGAGTGACAAGTGTGCAAAGGCCTCGCTGAAACTGGAGGCGAAGGGCCCAAAACGCTCTAAGGGATCAACACCTTGAAGAGCTGGCAACCCTGGAACCTGCAACTGCAGAAGGGAGCTGTCCCTCATGGCCGCTGACTCTAGGGGACAGAAGGAAGGACAGGCGCCTTGGGATGGAAGCAGCAGGTGTCCAGGTGCTCTGGGAGAAGCAGGAGCTCACCATGGTCTCAAGCTCACACAGACATCAACCACACAGGCATGAAGAGCACGGCCACAGGAGGACATAGCACATTCTAGGTTCTCCAAGACATTCTCAATTCCAATGTGACAGAACTGCAACCCTCATAGAGTAAAATATTCATAAAGGTGCAATTGTTTGGCCAATTATTTCTAAACGGATCAACTGGAAACATTCAAAAAACATATCTGGTCCAGTGGTGCATGCCAGGAAATCCTAACATTTAGGAGCTCAAGTACAGCTGACCTAGGTACCCCTGGTCAGCCTGGGCAGCACAGTCAGACCCTGTCTCTAGAGACTGAGGCAACCCACCTTTAATTCCAGCACTTGGGAGGAAGGTGGATCTCTGTGGGTTTGGGGCCAGCCTGGTCTGTACAGTGAGTTCCAGGACAGCCAGAGCTACACAGTGAGATCTGGTCTCAGAAACGAAAAAAAAAAAAAAAAAAAACCTACACACACAAAAGGGTTTGAGGGTGGAACAGTAAGGCTCTCGCGCAAGCCCTGGAATCCAGCCTCAGCACCAAAACAAGCAACAACAAAAACTAAAACCACACAGAAGAGAGTGATACAATGACCATGGTGTAATGACCACAGGGTAACATACAGCTCAGGGAATAAGCTGGCTAGAAAGAAGACAGGGAAAATTCAGCCTTGTCTTTATAATTTATTTAAATGTACACATAAACAGGAGCTGGGGCAGTCACTCAGTGGGTAAGAGCACTGGCTGTGCAAGCTTGAGGCCCCGATTCAGATCCCCAGCACCCTCACAAAAAGCCAAGCATGAGCATATGCAAGCCTGCAGCCTGGCTCTAAGGTGAAACAGTAAGATCACCGAGACTTGCTGACTCCTACTTAGTGCCAGCTTCAGGGAGAGACCCTGCCTCGCGGGAACAAAGCAGAGGCGACGGAGCGGGACACCGGACATCCTCTGACAGCCT